ACATATACGTGACGTCATAATGTAATGGTCTTCATTCTATTCATTACAGATATAGCCAAAAAAAGGCGTAGCCCAAACTACAGATAACAGAAAACTTGTTCAATACGTAAGGAAGACAAGGTCTTAAACATAAACCATTTAAACTTGACTCACTCACAAGAGGGAACCTTCTCAAAGGCACAATGGCTGGCTGACAAAACTGATACGCCAGGTCCTTAATTTTGAGCCTGGTCATCTACGTACATAATATAAATAGTGAGAGGAAGCCCAGTGAATAATAACAGAGTAAAGGATTCAATGAATGTTGTCCAAAGTAGTAACAGAAAACATAATTCTTGTTCATAACAGATACAGATTTAGAATTATATTCATAATCAGAATTTGCAGTTAATCATACGTGGTACATTCATTAGCACTAGCAGAAACAGTTAACCCATAAAGGGACGACCATAAAGGCATACAGTTGGCTCACGTGCACGGAGACAGTACAGTTAGCTCATGAGACGTACAGTTGACCCACAATTGGCACGTATACATAAGGATCCATAACAGTTGGCTCATGAGACGTACAGTTGGCCCATAATTAGGACATAACAGAACAGATAACAAATGTCATCTAAAACTAAGAATGCCATGAATACATTTCAGAAATATTGGATAACAATTCATATATGCAGAAAATAATAATATTTCAGAAAACAGATCATCTTATATTATTCAGAAAATACTTATAATTGAACATAGCTTTACAAAGTTATTACTCACGGATGGCTCCAAAGCAGATAGATAGAACAGATAACCAAAAGTTTACGGCACGTGACCTACACAAACACATAACAGATACACATTTGAAACACATGTTCAAAATATACTGAAATTACCAAATTGCACTGAAATTACCAAGTGCAGAATCTGAAATTTTCAAATTGCACTCCCAAGCTCCAAACTTGAATTCAAAGCCATGAAACTCAACCTTTGAACCTCAAAACTTGAGAAAACAAGTCTAAACTTGGAAAAAATAAAGATTTGAAGATCATTTCCTGAAATCAAGGCTCAAAAACATGTCAATTGTCCAAACGAAACCCAAATCTTTGAAAACATAACATTATACATCATGCATGTAGGGCTGCTCGCGGGTCGGTTTTGGTTGGATGCGGGTCAAAACCGACCCGACCAGCACTTATGTGGTTGGGGAAAAATAGACCCGCAACCGCCCGCGATGCGGTTCGCGGTTTGTGAGGGGGGGTGCGGTTCGGTTTGCGGTTTAGTTTTTTTTTTTTTATTTAACTTAAGCAAATTTGACATTTTTTGTTACTTTCTAAACACTTTTTTTTTTTAGAAGAGTTATAAATTAAATTACAAGATATACAATTCATGATCATAATAAATAGTCCACATGTTAGATAAGATGATATGGAACCATGCTTGAGGATAGTAATTAATCTTCCTCCTTAGCTTGCAAAAACAAACCCTTAAAAGTCAAACTAGTAACACTAATTTAAATATGCAAAAACAAACTCTTAAAAGTCAAACTAGTAACACCAATTTTAATAGTGGATTAATCTTCACTATTTAGTTTTTAATATGCAATAATGTGATAATAGAATGACAATTCAAAATATCATATGTAACTGTGTCTACTAGACTAATGGAATATAATGATTTTTTTTTTATATATATAAATAAAAGTCAAACTAGTAACACTAATTTAAATATCATTAGATCATGATAATGTATATAAGTGCCCATATAATAAATTTTACTTTCAACCAAAATATAAAAATAAAAATAATAACTAGTTATCTCCATCCATCCAAAATGCAAAAAATAATAATAATAACTAGTTATTTTTTCTTCTTTTTTTTTTTTAAAAAAAAAATGCGGGTTGCGGACGGGTCGGGTTCGACCCGAACCCGATCTTTTGCGAATTTCTTGACCCGCACCCGCCCGCCTACCTACATCGAAACCGCCCAAAGCACTGCGGGTAGGGTAGGGTCGGGCGGTTTGTGCGGGCGGGTGGTTTGTTGCCCAGCCCTACATGCATGTAAAGGTGCAACTTTAAAGCTTTCAAAACATGATCAAATGAGACAAATTGATGGAAAATAAGATGAATTCTCAAAACTAAGGTAGAATGATAACATGCATGGGAGAATTCTTTGAAAACTTCCTTAAGATGCCATGATATAGACATGCAGCCATGATATGGTCTAATATTATTTCATTTTAGCTCAATTCTAGCATTACACAACTTAATTCTTTGAATTCATGTGCTAAGTACCCTAAGCACACAACTAAAGGCTTGATTTCTTACCTTAGGTTCTCAATTCCTTGAATTCTAGTGAGTTCTTGCTCAAATTCTTCAATTCCCCTTAATTCTCTAGTAAATTCCTTTATTTGAAGCCTTCTCCCTATGATATAGACATGCATGCATGATATGGTCTAATATTATTTCATTTTAGCTCAATTCTAGCATTACATAACTTAATTCTTTGAATTCATGTGCTAAGTACCCTAAGCACACAACTAAAGGCTTGATTTCTTACCTTAGGTTCTCAATTCCTTGAATTCTAGTGAGTTTTTGCTCAAATTCTTCAATTCCCCTTAATTCTCTAGTAAATTCCTTTATTTGAAGCCTTCTCCCTAGTCTCTCTCTCTCTACACGTTTTGTTACTCAAGATGATGGTAGGAATGTTCCTACCCAACTATAAATGGCCTATTTATATGCTTGATTAGCTTATGCTAGTTATTTGTAATTAAGCTAGACAATGGATTCTGAATTGAACTTCAATTGAACCTACCATAATGTTCTAAAAATTCCAAATAGCACGTATACCAAGTCAATTTCTGAATTGAATGCTGATAAGGCCTTCAATTTACAAAATAGAACAAAATTAGAGACAGATATTCCTACACAAAACAGATAGAAACTCATATCACACATATCATACGTAATGAAATGCAAAATTTCACTTTAATCACTTATTAAGCATTCTTAATCATGGATTGCATGTTAATTAGAGGTCGGGGTTGTTACAGCCTTCCCCCCTTAGAGAGTTTGGTCCTCTAAACTCGAATTACCTTCATTTTGGAAAAATGTTAGATCTAATGGAAATAAGTCAGGGTATCTCTTCATCATGTCTTCTTCCATTTCCCAAGTTGCATAAGTCCCTCCGTGGTTTTGTCAATCAACCTTCACTAATGGAATTTCCTTGTTCCTCAATTTCTTGATTCTTTGGTTAACCACCTGAATTGGCCTTTCTTCATATGTACAGTCATCTTTCAAGAGCACATGAGTTGGCTCAATAACATGGTACGGATCCCTCATATAGTCTCGAAGCATTGAAACATGAAAGACATTGTACATATTTTCCAAGATTGGAGGCAAGGCTACCCGATACGTCAACAGGTTAATTTTCTTAAGGATTTCATAAGGTCCAACATATCTCGGTGCGAGCTTGCCTTTTACACCAAACCGTGTCTGACCTTTCGTTGGAGTCACTTTTATGAACACGTGATCTCCGACCTCATACTCTCTGTTTCTTCTTCGGACATCTGCATAACTCTTTTGGCGACTCTGTGTAGTCTTCAGACGTTGTTGTATCATTTTTACTTTTTCAGTTGTTTCTTGCACAAGTTCCAGTCCCAACAATGGTCTGTCACCTACCTCGGCCCAACAAACCGGACAATGGCACTTCCTACCATACAAAGCATCATAAGGAGTCATGTCAATACTTGAATGGTAACTATTGTTATATACAAACTCGGCTAATGGTAAGTAGGTTTCCCAACTGCCTTGAAAGTCTAGGTCACACATCCATAATAAATCTTTCAATGTTTGAATGGTTCGTTCAGATTGGCCATCTGTCTGTGGGTGATAAGCACTGCTTAGTCTCAATTCGGTTCCCAGAGCTTGCCGTAGACTCTGCCAGAATCTTGAAGTGAACTTAGGATCTCTGTCAAATATAATAGATATTGGGACATCATGTAATCTCACAATCTCATTAACATACAAGTTAGCCAACTTATCCGCATTATATAAAGATTTTACAGGTAAGAAATGTGCGAATTTAGTCAAATGATCAACAATTACCCAAATAGAGGTCCATACCTCGAGGAGAGCAAGGCAATCCAACAATGAAATCCATGGTAATGTGCTCCCATTTCCATTCTGGTATTGGAAGTGGCTGAAGTAATCCAGCGGGTCGTTGATGTTAAACTTTGACTTGTTGGCAATGCAAACATCTAGGCACAAAATCTGCGATACACTTTTTCATTTCCGGCCACCAGAAATTCTATTTCAAGTCATGATACATCTTTATGTTTTCCGGATGCATAGCAAATTTAGAATTGTGTGCTTCGGTCATAACACGTTTCCTCAAATCAGAAGAATCTGGTATACAAAGTCTATTCTAAAACTTCAAGACATTATTCTCAAGCACAAATCCGGGCCTCGGTTTTGAGTCAAATTCTTCTATAATCTTTTTCAAGAACTCATCTTCAAGTTGTTTCTCTTTAATTTCCTCAATGATTGCAGGCTGAGCAGAAATGGTGGCTAAGACCCCGCCTTGTTCACTTAACACAATTTCAATCTCCTCCTACTCCAAGTCACATAATGACTCTTTCCAGCTGGTGAGCAAACATGACAAATTCCCAATGGATTTTCAGCTCAAAGTATCTGTAACGGTATTGGCTTTTCCGGGATGATATAAAATCTGCAAATCATAGTCTTTTATTAACTCAAGCCACCATCTCTGTCTTATGTTCAATTCTTTCTGCGTAAAGAAATATTTCAAATTTTTATGGTCGGTATACACCTCACAAGTCACACCATACAGATAGTGTCGCCAAATTTTCAAGGCAAACACCATAGCTGCTAGTTCAAGGTCATGAGTCGGGTAATTCTTTTCATGAGGACGGAGTTGTCGAGAGGCATAGGCAATTACTTTCCCATTTTGCATTAGCACATAACCCAAACCTTTGTAGGAGGCATCACTGTAAATCTAAAACCCATCAGTTCCATTAGGCAATGTTAGGATAGGTGCAATTATCAATCTAGTCTTCAATTCCTGGAAAGCTGACTCCCGCTGATTAGTCCAATTAAATGGCATGTTTTTCTGTGTCAACGGCATAGCAAGTTTCGAGAAATCTTTCACAAATCTTCTGTAGTATCCAGTAAATCCTAGAAAGCTTCTGACTTCGAACACATTAGTTGGTCTTGACCAATCAACAATAGCCTCGATTTTCTGTGGATCCACTAATATGCTATCTTTGTTAATCACATGTCCCAGAAATGCTACGCTATCAAGCCAAAATTCACACTTGGATAATTTGGCATATAGCTTCCTTTCTCTCACAGTCTGTAGAGCAATTCTCAAGTGATTCTCATGTTCTTTCCTCCCTTTAGAATAAATCCAGATGCCATCAATAAACACAATGATAAATTCATTGAGATATTGTTTGAAAACGCTGTTCATTTGTCACACCCCCAAAATAATAACATAAACACATCTATAAACATATATAAATAATAGCATAAACTCTTTGCTTCCAAAAGATCACTCCCATGCTATTGCCTTGGAGGAGGCATGCCATCATTACTTGAAAATGTTATTCCTAAATAGGGTGAGCCACAGCCTAGTAGAAAGCATCTATCACAATATATGAAACTTAGCAAAGGTATAAGTACAAGTGCATAAACAATGCAATGTCATAAAACGTTTCACAATTTTATATACTTGTGAGATATCAATTTCAAGTCTTAATCTATTTCCTTTCAATTCATATTCCGTTCACTTATCTATCCCCATTCATGAGTCAATTTCATTATTTCTCAATAACCGAATTGAGGCTACAACTCAATAATTTTCGAATCATACAACACATATGCATAAACACTTCAAACTTCTATTTCACGGAAATTTCGTCCACGGGCAGCCGTCAAACGGGACCCATGTAAACATAGGCTATACAAGCACTACAATTGCCATTTTATGGATATTTTGTCCGTGGCCTAGACACCCATGTATAATTTCAAAACTTTCACCCAGGACATTCTGGCTAACTTAATTATAATGGAGTCCATCCACTTTCTTCTCCCAAACAAATATCCATACATATGCAATGTATTTAGACAGATAATCAAACATAAAGCACGTCTCCTTTCCACTTCCAAACAAGCATACATATATAATGTATATAAACACGGTCATATTCAATGACAACCATCAAAAGATTAGTTTTAATTCACCTAATCCACATGCAATTTTTACAACAGTCAAAACTGTCATTCACCAATAGCCCAATACAGTTATCTCTAGACAGATATTAAATCTCAAACAGATAGTTACTCAAAACTTATAAAAGACTGAGTTAATACATAACCAATCCCACCATTCATATCAATACCCTCTCAATTCCACATTTTCAATGCCAATTCTAATTATTTGTATAACATAATAATTTGATCCAATTAGGGAAATTTCTCCATTTTTCCCAATCATTAGCCAAGTGCTAAAATCATCAAATTAGACATAACACAACATTATTTTTAAACCCCACAAGCATTTATTTCACTTACACCTAAAACCCCTCTTTCCATTTCGTGCCCAAACCCTAGGTTTGTTTAAAGCATCCCCCAAATCACACCATTGTTACACAAGAAGCAAATAACTAAGCTAAATATCATATGAAGGTGTAGAAAGATCCCTACCTCAAGTGAGAAGACAAGGAAAAGCAAGAGAGAAACTCCAAGAACACCGAAACCCACTTTTATTCGGTTCAAAATAAAGATCTTGACGAGCTCTACCTTTTTCTCAAAGGCACTAGGGTGGAAATCCCAATAGATTTAGATGAAATCTAAGAGAGAAGGTGTATTGTAGAGAGAGAAGCTCAAGAACAAGCTTTTTAGGAAGTTTTAGAGAAAGGGAGATATGAAAAAGTGATTCAAAATGTCATCTTCTTGGACTGAAATACATGCAGTCCACTCGAGCGTGGAAAGCCCCGCTCGAGCGTCAGACATAAGGTTTCGTTCGAGCGTGAAACGTGGTGCTCGAGTGTAGGTTGCACAATTCCAGAAGTTTTGCAAATGAAGGTCTCTGCTCGAGCGTAAGACTGGATGCTTGAGTGTCGATGCACTTCCCTAGTATTTTCAGAATTGCAAAATATACTGAAAGTTGACGAATCCCGCTCAAGAGCGAGAATGGCCGCTTGAGCGGAGGAGCAAAATTTGTGAAGCCCACTCAAGCACAAGAATACCCGCTCAAGCGAAGGAGCCAAAATCTGGGCAGCAAAGGTTTGGAAAAACAAACAACCAACCTGTCCCAAACGCATAACTACAACCTGATAACCAAAATTAAGGGGAAGACAGGGGAAAGATATAAGAATAACTATTCAAAACCATACCAACCCGAGTCCAAACTGCAATAGGTAACGGGTCAAAACCAGAATCGCTATAATCTCCCCTCTTAAGGAATTTCGTCCTCGAAATTTCAAATCAAGTTCATGTTCAAATTTTACTGTAGACCATCCATAACAATGCTATTCTCTCAAATCTCATACCATGACCCACCCTCTGGTCATCTACTCTCATTTACTCGATACACAAGTCCCAAATTAAAATGAAATTTATAATTTTCCCAAAACACTTACAATGTTAAACCAATTTCACATTTTCGAAATTTATCTAGCATATATAATGCTTCCAAAAGTGATACAACACTCAATATTTTATATTCTCAAAACATATCCAATGTTTTCATATATAGAATCCATGTTTCCAAAATGCTCATAACATATACAATGTCCTCATAACTTAAAACATATACAATGTTCATACTTTTCATCATCATAATCGAAATTTCAATACAAAATCAAACATCAACAAATAAGTCCAAATACTTTCCACGGACTTCCGATTCACGTTCCCAAGTTGCTTCCTCAACTCCGTGATGTTTCCACAAAACCTTAACGAAGGGAATCGTCTTGCCTCACAAAACTTGATCCTGTCTATCCAAGACTCTCACTGGTCTCTCCTCATACGAGGCATCCTCATCTACCTCCAAGTTAGTCCAATCCAACATGTGCGATGGATTTGATTCGTACTTCCGAAGCATACTAATATGAAATACATCATGCACTGTGAAAAGTTGTGGTAGCAACGCCAACCAATAAGCAACCTCCCCGACCTGCTCAAGGATCTCAAAAAGTCCAATGAATCGAGGGGATAACTTCACACTCTTCCCGAATCTCATCAAACCCCGCCTAGGTGATATTTTTAGGAACACATGGTCTCCCACCTCAAAACTCAAGGGTCTCCTTCTACGGTCGACATAACTCTTCTGGCGACTCTGAGCCGTAACTAACCTCTTACGAATAAGTGCCACTTTTTCCATCATTTCCCGAACCAACTCCGGACCCAACAAAGGTGCATCACCCACCTCGGCCCAACATATAGGGGATCTACATGGTCGGCCATATAAGGCCTCAAATGGTGCCATGCCAATACTCGATTGGAAGCTGTTATTATAGGCAAACTCTACTAAGTGCAGATGCCTCTCCCACGACCCCTTAAAATCAAGCACACAATATCGAGGCATATCTGAATAGTACGTTTGGACTGCTTGTCAATTTGAGGATGATACGCGGTGCTAAAGGTCAATCTAGTGCCTAAGGCACACAGCAAGCTCTGCCACAACCGAGCTATGAAATGCGGATCTCTATCTAAAACGATCGTTACAGGGATCTCGTGCAACCTCACTATGTCCCTAATATACAGGTCAGCAAGATGGTCTACCGAATCACTCACTCGCATAGGTACAAAGTGCACGGACTTGGTCAACCGGTCAACTACCACCCAAATGGCATCACTGCCCCGATGAGTCCTCAAAAGGCCCACAACAAAGTCCATTGTGACATGCTCCTATTTCCAGTCAGCTATAGGCAAGGGTTGCAACAAACCCACTGGCCTCTGATGCTCGACCTTCACTTGCTGACAAGTAAGGCACTTCAATACAAACATAGCTACATCTTTCTTCATACCTCTCCACCAAAACTAGCAACTCAGGTCATGATACATCTTTTTGCCTCTCGGATGCACCGCAAGGCGTGAATGGTGAAACCCTCGGCATACTTCTTCTCTGCAAGACTTCGGCACGAACAAACGTTCATGGTATCTCACACTCTGGTCGGGATACATATTCAGACCCTTCTCTACCTTCCTATTAGAGATCTTCTCCCTAAGGATTTCCACCTCAAGGTCATCCCTCTGCGCCTCTAACACTCGGTTCACAAGCGTAGGTTGGGCAACTACCGTAAACAAGGATGCAGACTCAACAGATTTGCCAAGATTCAAGTTGAACTCACCAAGAGTACCTAACATCTTTCATTTCTGAATAGCGATATAAGCCACACTGCTAATTGATTTCCTACTCAAGGCGTCAGCCACTACATTGGCCTTTCCGAGATGATAACGCAAAGTCGTAGTCCTCTATGAACTCTACCCATCTTCTCTGCCTCAAATTCAAGTCTTTTTAGGTAAACAAGTACTTCAGACTTTTGTGATCGGAGAACACTTTAAATTTCTCACCATACAGGTAATGTCTCTAAATCTTCGAGGAAAATATTACTGCTGCTAACTCTAGGTCATGAGTAGGGTAGTTCCTCTCGTGGGTTTTGCAACTGCCGCGAGTCATAGGCTACTACCTTCCCCTCTTGCATCAAAACACAATCCAAACCTTCTCGTGAGGCATCACAATATATTGAATAACCCAAACCTTTCTCCGGAATTATCAAAACTGGTGCAGTGGTAAGTCTAACCTTAAGTTCCTGGAACGACTTCTCACAAGTCTCATCTTACACAAATTTAACTCCATTCCTTGTCAGCTTAGTCAAAGGCAAAGCTAGTCTAGAGAAATCCTTCACAAATCTCTGATAATACCGGGCCAATCCCAGAAAACTACGGATCTCAAAGGCATTCTTAGACGGTGCCCAATCTTGCACTGCCTCTATCTTGGATGAATCTACTGTTACCCCTTCCCCAGATACTACATGGCCTAAGAATCTAACCTCTTTCAGCCAGAACTCACATTTCCTAAACTCAACACACAACTTATGGGCTCTAAGTACTTCGAGCACCGCTCGTAAGTGCTCTTCGTGTTCCTCATTGGAGGGCGAATAGATCAAGATGTCATCCACAAAGACGACTACAAAACGGTCAAGAAACTCGCAGAAGATCTGGTTCATCAAATCCACAAATATAGCCGGTGCATTGGTCAGTGTAGACACCCCATTTTTTACCACCCTTAAGACTTGGGCGCTACTGATGGTTTACTTGGTGATGAAGATGTGCAGTGAAAAGGGTCGATTTCTTCGGCAATGAGAGAGTCAAATCCCAACTTCATACCCCTTTTTGGACTAAAACGATCTTGATCAAAAGATTTTGAGAATTTGAAACCCTCTCTTTCAAAATATTTTTGAAAATTCTTCTGCGATGTTCCGACGCTCGCATTTTGTTAAATGTCGCGTTTTTGGGTAAACCAAGCAAGGACAAAGTGGAAATGAATGAAGGAGAGACAAACTCTTTTGAAAAATCTTTCAAAACACCTTATCTAGGGGTTTGTATTTGAAGAAAAGAGGAGAGGAGAGAAGAAACCAAGTTAGAGAAACAGTTTGGCATGAATCCGAGAAGGATCGAAACTGAGCGGCTTCACCAAAACAGGCATAACATTTTGCACACTTGGAATTTTGAAGTGAGGCTTCAACCATTGGAAAGAAGACTTCTAGGAATACAATTTAGGCTCAAGAATGACCTAAAAATGAGTCCAGATGAAGGAGTTATGTCTGGTTGAAATCGGGCCCAAAAAGTAGATTTTCTCTGTCCAACCAGAGGTGGAGAATGTGGGCCATAAATGGGATTTTTAGGCCATGTGCCGGCCATGAATGGCCAATGCCGGCCCCCTACCGTCCAAGGGAGTGTGCTTCCGACCAACAATGGTAAGGTGCCGGCCAACAGTGGTAAAGTGCCGGCCACAAATGACAGAAAGCAGTTTTGGACAGATATTTTGCTCTAGCTTGCTCCAGCTGTCTCTGTTGAGATATTTTCGACCAAATGCTCCATTTTTGATATATAATGAAGCCTTATATCTCATATTGAAGGGTTAGAACATTTGAGAAGAATTTGTCAAAGCTTTGGGAGCCTCTCTCTCTTCAATATTCTCTTTAGATTTTACTCTCTCTTGGGTATTTGTGCCAGAAACTTGCATACATCCATCTTCAACCTATCAACCCTTAACAAGAGTTGGTGATCATTGGGATGAGGTTACTAGAAGGTCTTCTTGGAGCTCATTAAGGAGGTTTTGACTTGGTTTTGTGCCTCAAAGTGTGCTCCCCTCTAAGAGGTAAAACTTTCGCCCTTTAAGCTTGTCTTTCACACTTGCTTCACCATCCTTTTTCCATTGTTTTGGACTATTTTGGGGCTGGTTTTGAACCATAAAACACTCTAATTTTGAGGTTCTAAAATGGTGGTTTAAGCCTTGTTTGGCTAGGGGGCTGTCTCTCCCTTTTGCTCATTGGCTTGTAAAGCCTTTTGAGCTATCTTTCAAGGCCTTTCAAAACAAATTTTCTTGGCCTTTTAACCGCTGAAATCTAGAGAATTTTCAGTGGTAAAAACCTTGTTTTGAGGTCCTAAATAGGAGGGGGTGGTCCCCTCTCCTCTTGTCTTGTTTGCTTGTGTTGTTGGCCCACCAAATGAGCATGTGTTTCTCTCTTTTTGTGGCTTACTTTGAGTACGTTTTTGTGACTTTTAGGACCTACCATAACTCTATTTTTGGTCAGCGTGGTCACCTCTTGCATGCTTCTTGCACTTGTAGTGCAATCTTGCTCACTAGCCTTGTTAGCCTTACAAAGTAGCATGCTCTTGTGGTTTGAATTAGCTTAGTTCAAGCATGTTTTTGCTGTTATTTTGGCATGTTATAACTCTGATTTTGATTGGTGGATTCACCTCTTGCATGCTTTATACACTTGTAGTGTAAACCTTGCTAGCTAGCCTTGCATGCTTGTCTCTTTAGCCTATTATTCTAGCTTATTTTGGCTATACTCTAGCATGATTTTATTCATATTTTGGCATGCTTTAGCCCTGTTTAGAGCCTTCTTGGTCGTATAATGCTTGTTATGCATGCTTGTAGTGCAATAACCTTGACTAGCTTTGAGTTTTGAGGTATCTTGCATGCTTGGCTTGAGGTATTTGCATGTCTTGGCATCATTTGGTATGTTATTTCAGAGCATATAGTGTTGTCACACTTCCATGTTTTTCACTCTTTAAGTGCTCTTGAGAGTTGCACCTTTTATGCCTTGTTTGTGAGCTTTTGCATGAGCATCATTTTCTTGCCTTTCAAGCCATCATCTCAGCACATTTTGGCCACTATTTTGGCATGCATGAGGTCTGTTTAGGGCTGGTTTAGTCCATTGAGCATTG